ACAGAGGTATTTTAGGCATGATGTTCGATTTACCAGACTCTATGGAACCGGCATGCTTGGAGGTATCTCAAAAGATTTCAGCTGACTTTTAAGATAAAGTATCATCAATTCTGTCGAGAGGGAATTAGAGGAATGTAGATAAAAATATATAGATGTCGCTGAAACTTTGTAATTGCTTATTGCCATCAATATCCAATCTATTGATTGAATAATTTAAAACAAAACATTTGAAGTTTTATTGCTTTTTCGATACTGGTTTATTGTATTCAAGCAAAATAATACATATACATGTGTAGATATGATTGTTTAACCTTATATATATATATATATATATATATATATATATATATATATATATATATATATATATATATATATATATATATATATATATATGGAAGGATTTATGTGAGTTTGTGACCCTGGATTTCCCGCACTCGGCGAACGTCAGATAAACTGATTAATGTTTTTAAAGTTTTAACTTATTTATGGTTGCGCATATCAGTATTTTATGGGAGTGCGAGGAAAAATTGTTGCCACAACGCCACTTGTACGTACGCAGACATACAGGCAAGCATGTTCACGCGTTGCAGATCCCATATTCATAAACGTATATGAATAGTGTGGAAATGGGCGTATATGTGCATCCATGTTTCCTTGTGTGCATACGTACGGAACTTGTCGGTGTATTCAATGATGGATTGTGGAGCGAACTTCTTTCCATGTCGCAGTGTCAACTGTTCGTCAATTCTGCTCGCTGAATGTTTTCCCGCACACATATATACGTATGCACGCGCGTTCATACACCTGTCTCGTTTTGGTTTTCTTTTTCAAGTATCTTCGTTATAAAAAAATATACCTTTTTTGTTTTGTCTTTATTCATATTGACCATTCCATACATATATATATATATATATATATATATATATATATATATATTAGTTATAGCTAAAAACTTTCACACACACACACATATATATATATATATATATTCGATTATAGGTGCAGTTTAATTTATAATTACATGAATCATTCATACAAAAACAAATATAAAGGTTAATGATTTAAATGGCGAGAATACATCTTCGGGGTTAGTGTATCTTATTGAAATTGTTTGCGAAAATGTATTTTCGCCATTTAAATCATTAACCTCTAATTATATATATATATATATATATATATATATATATATATATGAAAGATTAATCCTTGAAATGTACAATAATTGGTATTTGCAAAGGTTTGTCCAGATATGCAGGCAAAACTTGTCTGATCATTATGACATAAATCAAAAACGTAAATAAAAAATGCTGAGAAAATATTTCCGTAGATTTCAAATGGAGTGTTAATAGCTTTGTTTCGAAAGTAGTGGCAGTTACATCAGTTCTTCCCCGATTTAACTTTAAGGACTAAAAGTTAGAGCAGAGATGTGCTGCCATTATTTGGCACACTGAAAGATTTGGAGGTGCACCCATAAATCATATTAGCATTCTAGAGTATATTTTCAAAATATCTGAGAATGTTGTTAATACGTTTTCATTGTCTCCTGAATTCGAGGATTGGAAAGTTCTAAGTCATTCTGTAGAATATGTGACACTTTATTTTGCATTGCGCTAGAAAATTAAACCCAGACATATTATAACAGCGACATTCCCCTGCACGAGGTAAATTTCAAAAAATAAAAAAATAAAAAAAAATCCAAAATCATTATGTCCTTTATTTGTCACCATAAATTCATCAGGTAATCTTTCTCGTTAGTGATTCCATGCATGACGCTAACCTCCAATTGAGTGAATCACTGCGTCGTCAAGGGCGAACATTTTCCACTGACATCAAGTAGAACGATTAAATCCAATCACTTACTACGTTTGTTAGGAGATTTGCTTCACTTTGTTGGGCAAGAGAATTATTCTTGCCAGAATCTATCTTACCCATTTATACGGTCCGTCTATGCATTGAATATTACCATGACATTTAATCTGGTGTTTCGGCAAAAGTATTTAAGATTCTTGATGAAATCCAAAAAGGTTTCTGCAATTTTATATTTACATACCTAGTCTCGCTTTAAGTTTATTTCCCACCGCCGTAAACTACCTTGCCTCTGTCTTTTCATTTTCATGTTAATTGTTTCCTCTTTGGTACCTGGAATTTACTATTTTAAGTTCATTACTAGATCGGCTATTAGGTATCCTCATTTTATATTTGAAATTGCTAAATATCACCATAAGTTCTATGCTGATAGATTCTTTTCTTGCGAAGTTCGTTTTCGGCTTATTGTTTTCCAGTCAAATTTGATCTGCAGAAAGTTAGAATATATCAATCGTTATTTTCTATGTCCTTACTTTCTGTCCTTTATTGCTCTTCCTTCTTAATAATGTGTCTTAGTTAGATTCTTTAAAACTCGACACCAACTCTTTCGTCTTAATGGCTTTATCGCCTAGCTTTTGGTGAACATGTACACACATACACACTCACATCTCTCTCTCTCTTTCTCTCTCTCTCTCACACATACAATGTTGCATTATTAAAGAGTTTACAAACAAAGTGGTACACGTGTGAAGGAATAGCAAAACGCACATAGATGAAAGAAAAAGAGTTTTATGGTAGAAATGAATGCACTACTGAAAGACAGGGGATCGGGGGGCAGGCTAGTAATTCCCGAAGAAACCTCTAGGTACATCCTGTGCTCACTATATATGTAGGTACTGATATAGTCAGTCCACATTGACGATAATGAGTGTGGGACATTCCATTACAACAATATATATATATATATATATATATATATATATATATATATATATATATATATATATATATATATATATATATATATATATAATCGACAATTCTTTTAATATATTTTCTTTTACTTTTTAGGCTCTTTTTATAGAGACAATGAGGTCAAATGGACGGTTTCCGTATAGGAATGCGGGTTCGATTCCTGTCATAGAATGCATATTTTTTACGAAAATTCTCGAACATTCAGGCCAATAAATATAATAAATATTGTTTAATTAAAAAAGCAGAGCATTTACTTATAAATTGTATTTGTACAAATAACGTATGAACAGAACATATATCTATCTATCTATCTATCTCTCTATCTATATATATATATATATATATATATATATATATACGATTTCTGACGGAATTTCCAACTCATCTACAAATGATTATTATATATAATTTGTAAATGAGAATCAGTATTATTAATCAACCGTAATTCTCTTTAATAACATTTGATTAAAGAACATTTCTACCCACGTTGAATATATATATATATATATATATATATATATATATATATAAAAAGAACATAGAAGTCAACACTTAGAGGCGACAGTCTGTTCCATGCTATATGCAATCGTCAGGCCACGGTGACCTGACGATTGCATATAGCATGAAACAGACTGTCGCATATGTTGACTTATGTTCACTTTTATTTTACACACGCTCTATCTCTGATATTGAGCACTCTATCCCATAAATATAGCACACCTTAAATATATATATATATATATATATATATATATATATATATATATATATATATATAATGTGTGTTTAGCCTATAGATGACTGGCCTTGATATGCTGATGTATTCCAAAGCATATTGTCCGTGCATTTTCTTGCAGTCGTTTTATTCGTCAGTTTTGCTTTCCTTCTCCAGAGATTGCCTAACTCTGTTCTCCAATCTGATCAGCAACATTATTTCTCCCACGATTACAGCTGCTCGATATTCCCCAGGGGATTTCAGCTGGCAGTAGCCCGTAGAGAGAAAAAAACGCTCCGAGCATAGACACCATATGAAGAGCATAGGCAAAGTGAAGCGAATGCCACATTACTGCATTCTATACTAAGTTTCTACATTCCAAAATAAAATAGATAACAATGGAAAGTGGAAGAGTATATCGGCCGAAAACTGGAGGAAAGTAAGCCCTATGAGGTGAAAATCCAATAGTTACAGACTATCAGCCATAAAAGATTCAGTACAAATCCAATAATTTTATAGTAAATGATGTCTTTAAGAAACTAAACAATGTATTAATAAAGAGGACCAATTCATTAGAATCAATGAAAAATAAGAAGCTGAATTGCTATCTAACATGAATTCTCTTATATAACAATTCATTCCGAACAATTTCCTCTCCGATGAAGAGAAGATGGTGAAATAGAGATCCTGTTCTAAAGAGGCATAATGAGAATAACATGGGTTAAACGTGTAAGCAACTCGGAAGATTTAATGAAAATAGAATCAATCGCAGACAAATAAAATTACTAAGAAACCGACACAGAAAAGTAAATGTAGACAAATTTGTCACACACACGGCGTATTGAAAGCAAGGCAGACATTTAATGAGGGAAGTAATAAACTTTTATACATAGATGCCAGAACAAGGAGGAGAGGGATATTAAAAATAAAATGCATTGCTCTGCGCTATAAAGTGTAGGAAGATGTGGCGAATCATGATCGCCAACTTTCTGAAGGTACGAGGAACAAATAATAATAATAGTATTCTCTTTCTATCGCATGCTGTTCTATACACAAAAGTGTTAATAACAAAATGTATTAATAATAATAATGACACAAAAGTATTTTTAAACACGTATAAATAATTTCGCCGCCTTATAGAAAAAAGTGTGTAATTTCGTAACGGTAAATCCTGGAGTTTGGAACGGAATCAGCCCTTTCTCTCCTATCGTATTTTCCCTGAAGAACAACACAAACTACATTAAGAATATTACGAAACTTACAAGAATTCCAATATCCTATTTGGACCAATTCCGCTTTTCAGATATAGTTATCATTTCAAAATCTATTTTCGCCGCGTAAGGAGTGTATACTTTGTGAAGCACGGTCAGTTCACTGCTGGAGCAAAGATATTCATAAGTTTTCTCGGCTTGTGAAATGCTAATGCATCGCAGTGTACCAGGAAACGGCCAGGCTTCTCGAAATAGTCGTGAGAAGCCAGCCAATGTTCATAAACGCTAAGACGCCATTTCTTTCGCTTCCTTATAGCCCCTGCTGCGAATGAGGTGAACCGAACCCGTTTGTTCAAAACGGAAGTTTTTAACAACTTCGATTACATATGTAAAGCCAACTGAGATAAAAAGACAAAAATGGTTTTCATTTAGAGTTGTATAAACACAAATATTATTTCAACATATAATTGTCTGTGTCTCTATGCACGTATAATATATATATATATATATATATATATATATATATATATATATATATATATATATATATATATTTGTGTGTGTGTGTGCAAACAAATTCGAGGACGCCCCTAAAGTAATTGCTCCTATGCAAAAACGACTATAGATTTTGGGATCAAAGTAACACCGGTTCATAGTACAATTTTCAGTTCTGCAAACATATATCCACATAGAGACTGCAAGTGGCTACGCATTTGTGCCGGCAGGGAACGTGCGCCTGCATCCATATCGAAAGTTTCGAAACTATCAAGCCGTAAATAATAATGATGAGAATCTACGAATAATTCCTAAGCCTCGGACCCTACACGTTAAAAATTATCTGGAACATTCATTGTATAAAATTATTACATGTTTTTAGAATCGTTAAATACACTGATATTACAGAAGATGATACTGAAAAATAAAAAAAATAAAATGTTTCGTTCAGAAAGAACATTTGCATAATTAAGATACCGATGTATTCAAGCATGGCGTAATAGAAAATCTCATTCAACCGCCATATTTAAGTTTAAACTTCAGTAAACAGAAATATATTCAGGTTGCATTTTTATCGTGCATATAATTCCTTTTATATTATATATTGAACACATTAATGTTATATATATTTAATCTACTTTAAAACGATTATTTTCTTCTGGGCAACAATCGTTCTTTTTTACAAGTTTCATTAATACAGCTGATAAGGTACTGCGGTGCACATTTTTATTTGATTTATCTTTGTAAAGGGTGTTCCAATAACTTGGACCGATTTTCAATGTGATTTAAGTTTATGCGTTTAATGATTTTCTTTTTCTTTCAGATTTGGCGGATATTTGGCCGATATTATTTTTCACACATAATTACCATGACTTAAATAGCGTGTTCAAATAGAGAAATAATAAATGTTCACCAATAACACTGATTTATTTACTGCTAACTTTGATCCGTCTTAACGAAACACACTTTATAAATGTTTTCTTTTCAAGACATAAAATGTGTAAAAACTGCCACTAATGTTCTTCATATCCGAGCAATTTCGGTTATTCTTCTAATAGATATCGTGGATTATTTTTATTTTTAACTGAATTAATTTTTTATGTATGTATCTAGATTTATAGGCATGCCTTATTATTGTTCCACGTTTCAGAGACCACGAAGTCACTTAGAGATTAAGACGATTTGTAAATCTAAATATATGAAATCACCAGGAAAATTGGCTCAGCCATAACAAGTCTCGTTTTCAGTTTGACACGCGACATGGCAGAGAGACAGCAAATATGTGGAAGAAGTTGCTCTTGTCAAATGAGTACAAAATTTAAACTTTTGGTTTTCAAAATTCAACATATGATGGAAACGTAAAAATGCAGATAATCTTAAGCATACCATCTCCCACCAGGAAATATGGTGTCGACAGTATCATGTTACATGCGTACTTTTATTCAGCATGAACAGGTAAGTTAATCAGCGTCGATGGGAAGATGGCTACAGCAAAATACACAGCAACCATCAAAGAGAACGTGTTACTGTCTGCGAAAGACTTGTGCCTTGAGCGGAGTTTCAATCTCAAGCAAAACAAACTGTCCTAACTATAAAGCCATAGCTACAATCGAATTGCTTAGATTAAAGTCATTCTGACATATGCTTTGATGTGTCAGAATGACCCACTTCAAAACCTAGACGATCCCAAGTTAGAATCTTTGATAAGATCGTCTCCAGCCAACCTGACTGATTTCGAGCTATTTTGCAAATAATGGGCATATTATTTTAATCTGTGGATGTGTACAGTTAGTAGAAGCATACTCCAAATGAAATGCAACTGTATTTTCTTTTCAGAAAAAGGTGTTTCTAGAAAATTATCTCACGTAGAAGTGAATATATATGAATCCAGGTGATGACTGTTTTCTTCTCCTAATTATTGTTTGTGTCACAATAAAATGTATGACACACGTTCAAAGAGTCCCTTATTTAGTGTTGATCAAAAGGTAAAAAGACCATTTAAGCAAATTAGAATTGCAGTTACAATGCAAATTGTGAAAAACTGTTAAAGAGGAGAATGCTGACTCACGGGAAAGTATGTGCCGAAAAGCAGATTTCATTTAATAAACAGTCACAAGACAATTTATGAAAGAATCAGCATTGTTCATAAAATAATGTCAAACATAAAAACAATGTGTTGTAAGAATTCGGAATAAATCCAAAAATTCCACTATCAGAAAATAATCGCGTTGGAGTAGCCTTAACAAAAATCAATAATCTACCTACTGATTCTGTCCAGATTTAAAAATAAAAACGCAAATAGAATATGCTATATATATATATATATATATATATATATATATATATATATATATATATATATATATATATATGAGAGAGAATAGTCACGAAATAGTCGTTCAGGAGCTTACAGTTCAAAAAAATAAAGAGTAAAACAAGCAAAATATCTTCGGCAAACTTTTTCCTTTCAAGGCTTTTTTTTTCGAACTGAATGTTGTGTAATCATTGGCTGTTCTTTCGTTATAAATATTGATTTTCCTGCTGACTTTTTTTTCAGTTTGTCTTCTTGCCATTGTAACCATGGTGTCTTTTTTGGCGAGGAAGGCTGCAATGTATACAAAAGAATAGGCAATCCGAAAATAGGCAAAAGGGCAGAGAAGGAATAAATGGTTCCCGTTTTCTTGAATAATAAAGTATATATTTGCTTCTACTTCACTGTAATTGTTGAGTCGTTTAAATACACGTCTACATGACAGTAAGTTACATAGCAGAACGAGATGGAAAAATTAGGTTTTATGCACACACACACACACACACACACACACACACACACACGCCCCCACACGAACACACACACACACACACACACACATATATATATATATATATATATATATATATATATATATATATATATATATATATTCTTAACTATTATTAATAGCACAATCTTTTATTAAAACGTTTTTCAACAAGTATCACATTCATTTTTGTCTTGGAATTTTAACCGAAATTGCTTAAATTTGAAAAAGATAAAATAAAATAAAAACAAGATTGATGCCTGAGGATGAGAAATGTTTTTACCGAAAGTACTTGCAAACAATATTGCGGGAATATATAAATTCATTGTACAATTAATAAAAACAAGGATCGTGTCGTTCAGCGACTGGTCAGTCAGTTAATGCCTTTTTAAGTGAGTTTGGCATTAATTACATTAACTTTCTTGATTTAATCTGTGAATGACTATTTTACAAATATATATATATATATATATATATATATATATATATATATATATTAAGCCATATCTCATTAACTAATTCAGAAATTTTTTTCGACTTACTTTTGATAAGATTCTCTCATAATTACGGAGAAGTTTCTTAGTGTTCTTATTATTTTGTCTTAAAAAAAAACCTGATTACGACAATGTGCTAATGTCGAAAGTACTCGGAATAATGCATCATCATAGCAATTTTCTTTCTTCCTTTAATAAGGATACTAAGAAACTTGTCCGTGGTTTCGAGAGGATACTATTAAAAGTAAGTCGACAAAAATTGTCTAAATAATTTAATGAGACCTGTCTTAAGGAAAACATGCTACGAAAATATACGAAATTTAAATTATATACATATATATTTACCAGGGTTTATTAAATTAAATTATATAGAATATTTAGATATACTTTAATATTTGTTTGGTGCAAAATTATCAGGCGTTTTTGTAGGCGAGTTCTTTGTTTATAAAAATTGCTGCTCTGTTTACTTTTTATTTATAAAACTATTATTTAATTTTCAGTTTACAAAAATGACGGTTGATGTTCATACTCTCCGGAATATTCATTTAAATATGTTATTGTTGAATTGTTATTTTATGTAACTTCATAATAAATATTATTTAAAAAAGGCCTGGTAATTATGCACCAACCCAATACTTGATAGATTATTTGAATAATTCAATTGTCTAAAAACTACCATTCGCCTGTGCTTAGGATATTGCTGCCACATTTGATACGGTACCCCTGCTATTTACCTTCTGAACCGCGATAAGATCAAAGGAAGAATCAGCAATATTATTGGCCTTGATGTGGCAGCTCGTTTTCTTTCCCTTTCCCACCGTCGTAATTTTTTTTATCTTTTTTATAATTACTTTCATGGTAATTTTTTGGATGAGCTTTTCGCTATGGTACTTAGATTTTTTTTTAATTGAAGCGCAGTGCCAGACTGGTATCGAGATCTCATCAATTTACAGATGAGTTGGCTAAATGTAGCCGTAAGTTCTATGCTAACAGCTTCATTCTCGCACATGTAATCCCCCTACCCGACTTTTTACTTTTCAGACATCTTTAATCTGCAAACATTTAAATACAATGCCAATCGCTATTTACAGTCCTCCTGATTACCCCCTTTTCTTTCCGATTATCATCGATGTTTCAGTTCTTAATTCTTCCACACCTTGTAAGCCCTTCTGTTTTTGTGGCTTTATTGTTTTGCATGGAGTGATGACGATTAAAAAATGCTCTGATTTTTAAATAAATTTCTCTCATCACTAAGACTTCAGAACCGATGATTAACAGTCATATAGGTGAGGAATATGGACAATATATCAGGTGTTCGGAAATACAGATTATGATGATTACGATGAAAAATAACGATTAACGCTCGTCTTGAAGAGTGTAATTTTTTTTTTTAATTAGGAAAGAATCACCACGGACGTCTCTTCCATAAACTACTGGTTCAATTTCTTACATTTCGAACACAGGGAAATGACGGTGATTCGACTCTATGGAAGTAGCATGTCTTTTCCCCGTTGCAAATGTCTGAATAGACGAAAATAGAAATGAATCTCATCTGACCATTCGCCACAGAAATAATGATAGGATAACAATTGGCTTGTATCTTTATTCCTTTAAGAAAAGAATTTGGAAAATGGAAAAAAATAGTTTTCCTACCGCAAGTAGAAATGATTTTAACTCTACCACACGTAGCAAGTGAGGTGGGGGCAACCGATTCTCAGACTTAACAGAAATCCTCCACTTTTGGTTTCATCAGACTTTTCTATAGCATGCTAAAAAGTGCCGATCATTCATCCGGCTTATTTAGCAATGGATTTCATATGTGAATTCCACTTGAGTTTTGCATTGAACACGGAAGCAAACAATCGTTCGAATCAGTCTCATTGGAGAAAACTCATGACCTGAACTATGGCGATGAAACGATCCTAAAATAATTTGGGAGGTATTAAAAGTAGCAAACCAATTATTTCCTCATTGAAGGAGAGATCGTCTACAAGGCTCCAATCAACTTGGTTTTTAAAAGTGTGACCATACAAAAGTGGTATCATGTTTATAGATTAGACTACAGATCTGAGATTGAGATCGATAAAATCAAAAACGACAAAGATTTGGAGCGGGAATAGATCTGAGTTTCAGAAAAGTATTAAATAAAGGTAATAATAATAATAATGATAATATCCAGAAACATTTCACCATATTGTACAGTGTTTGCAACCAGTGAATAAAAAATAGAGTGGGCCAATATCTGCACTGGAAAATATACATCTTTTACCGGAAGCAAACTGTAAGAAACTGGTATGAACATCACCCAGACTTGGTTACAGGTGAGTATCAGGTTTTTACGCTTTCAAAATTTGGAGTAGTTCCTGAATTGATTTAATGCTGTATTTGCTATACATGTATGGTGGAATTATGAATAATATTTACACCAACACATTTCTTCGTCCATTAAAAATTAGACATAACATATAACTTGTAACAAATTATGAAAGTTTACAATACACACAAGTAGGCGTTGTGATGTGGCACCCTGCATTATTAGAAAAAAAAGAAATATTCATAGAAATATGATTTCATTTTTCTTATTCGGTTTATTAACCAGTTGTTAGTTTTTTAGACGAGAATAATTCTCTACTTGTACTTAGGCGATCCTAAGAGAAAAAAAAAGGAAGGGAAAAAGAAAAATAGAAAGAGAAAGAAAAAGAGAAAGAGAAAGAAAAATGCAAAAGGCCGGTCATTAGCGAAGACAGGTGTCAAGAGGTATCGAGGTCGGCGCGCCTGACCGAATTCCAAAAGGACAATGGAAATTGTTTTTTTGGGAGAGTAGAATTAAAGGTAATTAAAAGAAAGAAAGAAAACAGACTTGGTAAAAGTGTATGAACATATGTACGATTGATAAAAATGTCGGTCAAAGCATCTGGCCTACTTTTGTGTCGGAGACTCATTATCAATTTGGAGAAATGGGATTTTTTAGAACAATGGGAAACGAATTATTAATCGGGGAAAGGTGTCTTTTGGGATGAGGAGGTGACCGCTGGACTTGTATACAGATTCTGACCTGTTAAAAATCAGAACTCCTACGATGATGAAGTGAAGACATTTTCAATTCAGATAATTAAGATTTTTGACTATCAGGTCTGAGCACAAAACAAAGAGGTGAAAAACGATTGTTCTTGGCTCACAGATAGCGCCAATATTCTTCCTGAAGTCACATCTAATTAGCGGCAGGATGTTTTGACAAAGACCAGGAAGGTGAGAAAGGCCGATATTGTCATTTTTCGTACGTGCGAAAAAGGGCCAAATTAGATTTTGTTTTTTTAGCAAGGTGTCTATTTCCCAGAACAAAAGCCGGGATAAGCCACGCCCGATTGGAGACGTCACACGCCCAACCAGAATCTCATTGGCCGAAAGCGGTCTCGTGATATGCGAGAAGAGGAGAAAGGACGCTCGATCAAGTCCCATTGGTCGAAAACGGTCACCTGACATACGAGAGACCGGGAGAGATGGGTATGCGCCTCCCCACCAGAGGCACTGTGAGGAAGTAGGGGTGAAAATAAGAGCGATAATGGGAAATCAGAAAAAGTGCGACTTTTGAATTATCGAGAAAACCCCTGACGCCGACAGACCCACCCCAGTTTGTTGCGGCGTCAATAAAAGCAGAACCCCAATCGACAAAATGAGTTCAGCCCCGGACGGCAGCGAAAGAGATCACCTCGGACGACAGAGAGTTGCAGTTGAGTTCAGCCCCGGACGGCAGCGAGAAAGGTCCACCTCAGACGACAGGTCCCACCTCAGACGACGAGAGAGTCAGACCACCTCAGACGACAGAGAGATCACCTCAGACCACCTCAGACCACGACAGAGAGCTCAGATCACCTCAGACGACAGAGAGCTCAGACCACCTCAGACGACAGAGAGCTCAGATCACCTCAGACGACAGAGAGCTCAGACCACCTCAGACGACAGAGAGCTCAGACCACCTCAGACGACAGAGAGCTCAGATCACCTCAGACGACAGCAGTCACTCAGACAGGCAGTAAAGTTGCAGGCCAAACAAGCAAATCAGTTCAACCTCAGTCGACAGAAAAGAGTTGCAGGACGGAAGAAGAAGAAGTTGAAATCAAACCAAGCCCAAGAACAGAAATTCGACCAAACCAAATCGAAGTGAAGAAATACGTCCAACTCAAGCCGAAGAGAAGAATCAGCTGTGAACGACTGGTAGAGATTAGCCCCAGTGTCGAACTAGACCACACTCCGACATATACAATTCTGAAGAGTAGACAATTCAAGTCTTTAAGTTGTATGATAGGAGCTTGGTGCCTGTCCACAAAGCGGGTCAGGAAGTAAGAACAATTTTATGTAACGAACATTAGATATAAAAAGGTTGTTACCCTTTTTATCAGTAATTTTTGTCTCGTGAGTTTTTTTTTTTTACTTGTGTTTTGCCACCCCCGTCGGACTCAACTTGCATACGACCCCAATCCCTGTTTGATCCCGTCTGTCTAAGATCTAATCACAACGTGGGTAGACAGACCGGAGATCAGTACAGTTACCCTAGTAACCAGGTGTTGGAAGCGGGTTGAGAAAGGCGAGGCTGGTAATCATCTAACCAAGGGGTTGGAACGGCACGCTTGGAACAGCGAAGAGCGACCAGGAGGAGCGACGTCACAGTTGGCGCCGTAACCAAAGGTTTCGACCCTGGACCAGGTGTCACCGTCACAGTGATGAAAGACCACAAAAACAGTATGAACTTTCTTAATGACATGGCAGTCCATACAGCTTGTAAAGTATCTTTGAAGATCTTCAAAAAATATCAAAAATACAAGGATCCTGAAAGAGAAATCACAAAAATGTAGTACCTGGGAAAACCAATAATTCTATCAATCGTTTCTCTAACTGGAACATTAATAAATGAAAGTTCAACGTGAAGTGAGGCTATGGTTTCATTATTAGGTTTTTATGCTTTCAAAATTTTGAGTAGTTCCTGAGTTGATTTAATGCTGTATTTACTATGCATGTATGGTGGAATTATAAATAATATTTACACCAACATATTTCTTCCTTCATTAAAAATTAGACCTAACATATTACGGAAATTATTTTGACTTGCACCACTGACGTTCCCCTATATGACCATCAACATAATGTACTTACGACGCGATGGTGTTTTTATGGCTTCAGTTCTGGGACCAAGATTTAGTAACATTCGCATGGCTAATCTTGAAAATGATATATTTAATACCACAAAATAAACTTCATCTACATCTGAGATGTAGATGATACTCCGTCCTTAAGTTCACATACGAAAAAATAAAAATAAAATCCATTCTCTAGATTTATTGATAGATACAGATAATAATACATTTACCATCTCTCATATAAAATACCAATTAGAATAAACACATTCACCTTCAAATATAAACATGAATGTCTTATTAGGAAATAGATATTTTACGAAAGTTATTAAATAGTGCAAAAGCTAATTATTCCTTGACAAACATATTCTATAATGAATTAAAAAGCAAAACACACTACAATAAGGACTTTACTAATTACTTTTTACATTAAGAAATGGACAAAGTCCGACAATTTATTAAAGACATTTTTATGTTTAACATTCTTTTTATAGATACAAGTATTTTAGTAAATGCTCTGTTTATAATAAACAGTATTAAATAACATTTACCGGCCTAAATGTCCGAGAAATTTTCAGAGAAAATATTCGTACTTTGATAGTATTCGAACCTGTATCCTATACGGAACCGTCAAGGATGTAGGATGCAGGTTCGAATCCTGTCAAAGGACGAATATTTTCTCTGAAACTTTCTCGGACATATATATTGAAAATTGCGTCGACATGAAGGTCAATTGTGCAATCAATGTAGGGTATTCTTTTTCTTTTTCGTTCTATATATATATGGTGTGGAAAAGGCATCACAAGAAAAAAGGCGATTTGGAGCAATCGAGTGGCCACTGCGATCACCAAACCTATCAGTACTAGACTTTTTTCATGAGGGTTTTACTGAATGATCTCGTTTGCAGGCTCAAAGTGAAAACATTTTGTGAATTAAAACATTCAAATTCTTATAATTTATTTTTAATTTGATGTAACAATGTATCAAATTGTTTGTAGATGTGTTGCTCATTGTTTTGAACATGAAGGGGATGATTTTCAGTACTGAATATGTTAAATACTTTGTTCATCATAATAAATCATGTTTTGATGACAATGCTTATACATTTTCTTCAATTTGAGTGAAAAGTGCGACAGAAAAAAAAATATTAACGTCGAACATACGGTTACATGTAAGCTTCATTAAAGTAGATATATTTTTATGCGATTTTAATTATTGACGGAAAAAAACGGAAGAGAAAATTTTCAATAAAGGGGAAAAAATTAAATAGATTGGTAGGCTGCCAAACCGCTAATGCTTTATTAATTCTACTGAGCAGCAATCGTCTCTTCAACAGATCCGTCAGTCAGCATTATTTCGAAATACGCGTTTATTATATAGATGAAATCGTGCGCAAGAAAACGTATCGTTTTGATTGTAAAATATCATACAAATATCGTATTTACTGTATACCGACTTTTGCTGTCTTCTCTGTACGTGTGAGTATATATATATATATATATATATATATATATATATATATATATATATAAACCCTAGACCTCTAGTGACCTCCGAGCCTTGTAAATGGTGAACTTTACTGTAAAACGTTTATTTATATATATATATATATATATATATATATATATATATATATATATATATATGCATGTATGTTTATGTATGTATCCTTATGCGTGTTCATATATATGCCTTTATGTTTATGCGTGTATGTATATATATATATATATATATATATATATATATATATATATATATATATATATATATATATATATATATATATATATATATATATATATATATATTTATATATATGCCTTTATGTTTATGCGTGTGTATATATATGCATGTATGTTTATGTATGTCTCTCTATCTCTCTATCAGTCTATATATATATATATATATATATATATATGCATGTATATTTATACATGTATATATATATATACATCTATGTTTATGTATATATATATATATGTATGTATGTGCATGTATATTTATATATTTGTGTGTATACATATATGCATGTATATTTACATATTTATAACTGTGTATATATATGTATGTATATTTATATATTTATGCGTATATATATATATACATAAATATACATATATACACATATATATATATTAATTTATATATTTATGTGTATATATATATATACATATATATATATATATATATATACATACATGTATATTTATATATTTTGTGTGTATATATATATATATGTATCCACATTTATATACTTATTTTTGTATATTTATGTACACAAATATGTGTGTGTATGTGTGTGTGTGTTTGTTTAATTTGCTGATGTGTGGCGGCTAAATTTTCCAGTACCACCCTCTTAATGTGGGTCTCTAAATATGTTTATAAATATATGGGATGTCGTTCAAACAATGGTCTGGCGGAAATGCATTAAGACCAGTCTCCCACAGAGGGGTGGCTGCCTGAAGAGAGTCGAACGTATACGTTGCGGATTAGTTAAAATTTGGAGTGCATGGATTTCGTTGACCCGTGATACGAATAAACATACCGTTAGTTGGATCTTTTTGAAATGGGTTGGATGAGCTTCTTTAATGAGCCGCCGTATTTCTGAAAGTGCTAGACGTAGACTAGTCGTTACATTCACATGTTCGAACCTCACCTCCATATTGATCTACATATAAACCTTGGCTTTCCCGCGTAGAGATTTTAACAAAGCTTTGCAATTTCTGACAGACTGCCAAACTGTTGCAGAGAATATTATGTTTATTTTTGCAATGAGAATGTCATGCCTGCTTGATATATTAATATTTAGAAACATGTTTAATTTTTACTGGGTTTGAATATCGATAAAAAATTATGTGGGATATCCCCAATTACTAAGGACAATTTACATACACTATATACACTCATATCCACAAAGACAAACGCCATATGCATATGTATTTAGATACGTTTATAAAAGTGATATCTTCTAATTTCCTTTAAACGTTTATTCAATACACAAATTAATAACTTTTTCCTTTTATTTTCCACTTAAAAAACGCTACTTTATGCTTAGTGATTTTTAGAAATGTGTGGTTATTTAATGACATAATATATATTTAAAGACGGCAAAATATCTAATATCTCATAAGCTATGCATATTTAGAATACTTAACGACATATATACATGGTTATGAGACAGTAACTTACTTGGTCAAATAAATAATCAAGAGTGCTCCTATCGAAATGTATCAAAACATAAATCTGCGGCACAGATTTTTTTCGAATCTCTCTTTTCGTAAAGGATATAAATTTTTCAAAGCAAATATATATTAATATATTTTTGTTTTAACTGAAAGAAAATGGTTACATTTTAAACCTACTATTATATAAAAAATATTTAAATACACGAATTAATTTCTCAAATCAAAATAAAATAAATATTAATTACATTAAAAAATTGCAACAACAATAACATTTAGTCATTTTTGTCTATAGTTCAATTAACTGCATTAGTTATTATCCTCTAGTGTTTACCTAGACTTTGAGTTAGTATGGAATATATTTATGAAAGTTCTTAATTAAAAAAAAAAATGAAAAAACTAAAGACATTTTTTTCAATATCTTTTGCAAAATAAAATCATTACATCGTCCTTGATAGTCTATCAGAGGACGAAACGCGTCGGTTAAAGAAAATATTTCCACTTTTTTATATTCATTTTTGGTTAAACATAGACTATCAATGAGAATAATATCAATATCTAATTGCCGATGATATGGAAATTATCTAAAACATTCAACCGAAAACTTCAAATTGATTTGCCTCACATAAAATCGTTTTAGAGAAAGTAAAGAATTTCAAATAAGTTTTCAGCATAAATTAACGAGCTTTTCTCTGCTTAAAATTAAGTAATACATTTTAAAAA